CTCCGTTCTAAGATTTACCAAAACACAAGAAAAAAGAACGTTTAATTCCAACTGTTGAAACTCTAACTCAGGACCTGGTATCTTTACTCAATTCTCAGCGTGAGTGTATCTCCATCCACGTTGGACAAGCCGGTGTCCAGATCGGCAATGCGTGCTGGGAGCTGTACTGCCTGGAGCACGGCATCCACCCCGATGGCGTCATGCCTTCCGACAAGTCTTATGGCGGGGGCGACGACTCGTTCAACACATTCTTCAGCGAGACAGGGGGAGGAAAGCACGTTCCGAGAGCAGTTTTCGTGGATTTGGAGCCAACTGTTGTAGGTCAGTGATGCATCATTGTATATTTATATATGAAAGTAGATATTTTTAAGCCCCCATTGACGCTACTTAGATCATTTAGAGCTTGCCAGGGCCAACCTGGGATGAGAGGGTATACAACATTCCAGCAAAAAGACCGAGATACTGGATAAAAATGTTCTCCGCATTCGGGAATCGAACTTAGGTCTTCAACGCGCTACAGCGAAGCACCTAATAACTACACAATAAACGCCGGTCGAAATTGTATAGATATATATTATGGTTTAGGTATAACGCCTTCTTGTAACACTGTAAAAACGGACCCAACACACAGGAGCCAACGGACGAAATCCAATCAACGCACCCTGCCTCGAGCCTTGGCCTGGGGTTATTTCTTTATTCCCTTCCATCTTTATTCTTTCACTCACATCAAGAAACATTCATGTATATTTTCAAAAGTCTAAAAATATGAAAATTAAAATTAGAATTAAGGGCTGGTGGGGCACCTAGAAATCGGGTCTTGGGGTCAAATTTTGCAAATTGGGTTTATTACATATTATAGTACCTGGACATTTCCTGAACAATATCCAGAAACGTATGTAAGCCTTGCTACACCCTACAGTTGTGTTTTGTTGTCAGGTTTTTCTGCGAAAGCACATGTTTTCTAGCCTTTTCTTACCTGTATCGGCTGTTTTCTCACAATTCTATTTTTTCACATATTATCCCATTTTTCTGCTCTGTTAATGGTTCAATTTCAATGTAACTTTCACAGGATACCAACAACACCTAGTTCTAAATTTTGGCTTGTTGAATTTTTTATTAACGGAGTAGTTTTTGATTTATGGGCTTAGTAAGCATGAATTTTCCATTTTTTCCCACTTTTTTTGCAATATCCCAATTGTAAGTGTCATGAAATAAAAACTAAAGCATATATCAAAAATTCAACAAGCCAAATTTAAGAGCTACATATGTACTGTTGGCATGTTCAATTAGAAGTAAATCGGTTTATAAATAAGGGAATAAAATGGGATTGAAAAAGGTATACAAAATCCAATATGGACGCCGTTTCCATAGCAACCAATTCACAATATACTGTTTAAACTACTGATTTAAAATCCCCAATAACACACAATGTCCCACAGCAAATATGGGCACTCTAGGCCTTGTAATAGCCAAAATAGACCTCAGGTGCCCCACCAGTCCTTAAGATATCTTCTTCTTCTTCTTCTCGATCGCATCACACTTGAAGTCCGGTATCTGTCATAAATTGGGCCGCCCTGTTCAGTTCATCTGGCGGCCCGTATAGCTTCTCTTGTAGCGTCAGCGGGG